GTGGTTCTCGGTAGGCCTAGAACTCCACCCACATCGAGGGGGGTTATTTTTTCTTGACTTTATTTCAACACATAAGACCTACAACTTTCACATATTCGAGTACAAATGACAAAAAATGTTTATTAAAACATTAAAGTAAATTAATGAATTAGAACTTCAGTACAACCTCGATTCAACGTACTATATGGGACCAACCCCAGTGCGTTGGAGCGTTGGATTCGTTGCAAGAGGTGACCTTCAGGAGGCATTTGTGTCAGTGTCTTTTTTTTTTCTTTTACACAATAAAAGTGCATTATCATATTACATACTGTACCTATATATTACTATTCTACTAAAAAATATTGTATTACATTAGTTATTTACCTCATTGTTGGAGTTATATCCATCTTGAAGTTTCATGGAGTTGTGAATCCTGTACAGTAAATATATACTGTAGTGTATTATGCCGTTAGCACTGTGTTGATTAAGTAGTTCTGCTGTATGTTGAGTACTGCAATACAGTTTATGAAAACTATTTTACACTAAAATTTCTGTACTGCAACCTTAATTTGGACACTAACACTTTGTACTTAAATTTAACACTTATTCTAACTGTTCACTCCACACACGATGTTCTTAGAAGTTTGCATCAGCTTTGCTGGTGCTGACTGCTGCTGTGTTTGCTTCAGCTGCTTCTGAGCTGGTGCTGGCTATTGTTGTACCAGTGCTGGGTACGGTTGTGCTCATACTGGGTAAGGCTGTGCTCGTGCTGGGGTATAGCTGTTTTCGTGCTGGGTACGGTTGTGCTCATGCTGGGTACGGCTGTGCTCGTGCTGAGTACTGCTGTGCTCGTGCTGGGTACAGCTGTGCTCGTGCTGGGTACGGCTGTGCTCGTGCTGAGTACTGCTGTGCTCGTGCTGGGTACAGCTGTGCTCGTGCTGGGTACAGCTGTGCTCGTGCTGGGTACAGCTGTGTTCGTGCTGGTTGGTTTTCTGCTACTAGTTCTTGCAAGATATTGCTTAATTTTTGGCATTAATAAGGTACTATTAGTAAGCCCCTGATACATTTTATTGTATAACAATACAGCTGTAGTAAAAAAAATGGTAAATTCCACGATTATTCTTCCACCAGCGGATAAATACATCAATTGCAGACAAAACTAAGGGCACTGGGTGCCTACTGTACGAATGCAGACTAGGGCTATAGGTACACCCTACAATAAAAAATACTTATTTTAGAACTGAATGTTTTTATTTCGAAGCCGTAGGTCATTGAACTGTGGCGACGAAATCGAACAAAATACGCATGGTGGTGTGCACACGGATTAGACCCGTCCACTCGTGCTGAAGTTGTGCTGCCAGTAATATGAATAATTTCTCAAATAGCAGATAGCTATCATATTACAGTATATTTTTGGTTTTATTTAGTTCAGTTTAATTAGGATAATAAAGAGTTATTAAAGCACCAGTTTTAGAAATCATTTATTAATCTGAAACGTTCAAAGTCAGGGGTCACTGAACTATGACGACACAGACGAAAGTGAGTGAAACCTCACTGTAAAGTGAGGTTTACTGTACAGTATTTCCTTATCTATCCATCCTCACTCATCTTGTTTCATCACAGAAAATGTATATAAGAAGATTTCAACACATTAGCTAGCTATTCACGCTTCAGCCTTTAAATTAATTTACAAAGATACGTGTGCCACAAATCAGTGAACGAAAATCATTGAAACACAGTCGTTCACTTGTGTGGACCACTCTGGCTGGTGTTTGGTTAATATGCATCACTTGTTGTGTGGACCATTCTGGCTGGAGTTTGGTTCACATGGTTCACTTGTTGTGTGGTCCACTTGTGTGATCCAACTTGTCTTATGAAGGAATTATTAATTGTAATCTGTGATAGAATGAGACAGTTTTCCACCATTCTGTGAACTCTGTCCCAACATCATAAGTTTGTGGACCACTTGTGGTCCACAGTTGTGGTCCACTTGTGTGATCCAACTTGTCTTATGAAGGAATTATTAATTGTAATCTGTGATGGAATGGGAAAGTTTTCCACCACTCTGTGAACTCTATCCCTCGTAGCCTGGTGGATAGCGCGCAGGACTCGTAATTCTGTGGCGCCGGTTCGATTCCCGCACGAGGCAGAAACAAATGGGCAAAAGTTTCTTTCACCCTGAATGCCCCTGTTACCTAGCAGTAAATAGGTACCTGGGAGTTAGTCAGCTGTCACGGGCTGCTTCCTGGGGGTGGAGGCCTGGTCAAGGACCGGGCCGCGGGGACACTAAAGCCCCGAAATCATCTCAAGATAACCTCAAGAAGATAACCAGTATATGGGAATAATGCTGTAACACCAACATCGGTATCATCAAACGTTGGTATTTGAGGGACAAATGTGGTGCAATCCTCCCACACAAGTACACCAGGGGGTTTGGTGTTGGTGCCAACACCACGGCCAACACCACCACAAGCACCAAGACCATGGCTACGTCGTCTGCTGCTGCTGCTGCTGGAGCTGCGTGAGGGTATGCTAGGCGCTGAGGCAGATTTACGTACTGTAGGCCTACCACGAACAAATGATATTGAGGGCCCACTGTCGTCATGCTGGGAGACACGCTGCCGCCTGCCTCTACGTGTTGCTGGGGCAGCAAAACCCCGCCTGGTAACACCACCGCTGCTCATACTCAGGTCGTCCACACTACTCGTATCGGAGCCAATGTCACTGAAGCCCAAGAAAGATTCATCACATGTACTATCACTGAATAAACTACTAGCATCTGGGGGACATACATGATGTTGGTGATGATAACGGTGTTGACCCAGGGCGGCGAGGTAGGCCGGGCGAGGCACGTGTACTGTACACGCTCGCTACATCTTCCAATTCCGTCTCTCCCTCGCTCGTATCAGATCTCTGAGTAAGGTCTTTCTCTGGATCATAGTCTAGGTCATCATCCATAGCAACATCATCATACAAAATATCGCATATTTCCTCCTGAGAGAGTCGTTTTCCATGACCCCGGGTAACCGTGGAGCGGGAGCTCGTAGAGGATGCGTCAGACATGGTTGCTGCTGTGAAACTGAAGCTCCCCACGGCCGCGGGGCATGCTGGGATTTTTTTTCAAGATGGCGAACGATCACTGGAGCCCTCAGCCATCCATACCATACCCGCGTCATCGCGCGCCAGTTTTGAATGGAACGTGAAAAATAAAAATACCTGGAGGCGCATTGTGCAAACCAGACGTGGGCCTGCAGGCGCGTTGTGCAGTTTAAGGGTTAAGGCTTTTACACTCCCATGCACAAGAAAAAAAATAATTCGTCTTCTAAAAATGTTCATTTATATTCCCTGAGCACGGGGAAAAAAATCATAGGTAATATATTTTGGTCGCAATAGGCTGAGGAAGTCTGGCAGGTGGGAGTTGTCACAAAGATATTATTACCTAATTATTTCAATGTCTGATTGATTTTTTTTTAGTTTTTTTGCAATAATATTATTCAGTAGTGTGTAGTGTGATATATAATAAAATGGATGAATCATCACTGTACTGTACTCAAAAGTATGGTGTGCATATTAGTGATTCAATTATTATGTTCATAAAACAATTAACAAATAGTTTTGCTGATATTACACTATATACACACAGGTTATATATATAAGTATCTGCATGTTTTGTTCACCATAACGAACCACTAAGTTGGTATTGTGAGTCAAAAAACAACAAGGAGTGGCTGCCATACCAGCCAGCCAGCCATTCGCCACCACTCCCTCCCTCAACAACACCTCACTCCCCAACATCTCCTCCCACCCTATTGTTTTCGCTTTTATTCACTATATACAGATGATATATATATAACTATCTACATGTTTTGTTCATAACTGTACAACTAAGCTGGTATGGTGAGGTCAGGCAATTAAAGACGTCACTACACACACAGTCAGCTGGCGGCTGCCTCCCTCACTGGTTCAAAGGCCAAACGCACTAAAATTTCTCCCCCAAAAATACTGTTTCTGGTGTTATTACACTATATACACCCGTTATATAGAAGTATATGAATGTTTTATTCACCATAACTGTACAACTAAGCTGGTAGGGTGCCCAAAGAGCATAGTGGCCACCCTCTACACAGCTAGACAAGTCATGCAGACAATGCCCCACCTCCGTCACCCAAATGGCTCCTTCCAACATAATCCTTTTGCTGTTATTACACTAATACACATGTTATATACTACAGTTGTGTTCACCATAAAGAACCACTGAGCTGGTATGGTGAATGCAGACAATAACAGCTGGCCACACAGAGTCATTAGACGATGCTATCTCCCTCCCTCCCTCCTTCCCTCAGCATTACTCCTCCCACACAGTGCTAATTATCACAACAATCCTGCTGTTATCGCTACAGTATATGCTATTATAAGGGGCCTGATAGCCGAGTGGACAGCGCTCTGGACTCGTAATCCTAGGGTCCGGGTTCAATCCCCAGTGATGCAGAAACAAAATGGGCTGAGTTTCTTTCACCCTGATGCTCCTGTTACCTAGTAGTAAATAGGTACCTGAGAGTTAGAAAGCTGTTATGGACTGCTTAATTGGGGGGGGGGGGTTGTGTGTGGAAAAAATAAAATAAAAAAATAGTTAGTAGTTAGTAACAGTTGATTGACAGTTGAGAGGCGGGCTGAAAGAGCAGAGCTCAACCCCTGCAAGCACAACTAGGTGAATACAATCCTGATCATTTTTATCACAGTCAGGGGTCTTCTGTAATACTGTCATCACTAAATAATAGCAGTAACATATTTATTTTGACATTTTTAGGCGATGCTGTGGTCGTAAGCTGAACAGCAGTGCTGTTAACTCATGCTGTGTGAGCTAACACAGCATGCATGAGCTAATTTTTCCCTACCATTCTGATGAAATTTAAAAACTGAGTTGTATTTTGAATAGAAACTTTTATTCCATTAATCATTGTCATTGCAAATTGATTTTCCCCTCTACATTAGTGTAATTTGTTCTTGTTTTACTTCACCAGAGACCGATACAAAGTTTGGAGGCGTGTCTGCGTTTACCAAGGACTCGACTCTTATTGTGGGCTTTAAGAACAAGAAGAGGTACCCTGGCCATGTTGCAAGGACCACATGGCCTTTCCAATAAAATAATTCAACATATTACACACAAAAATGACAATAGTATGATATATCAAATGAACAAATCCACAAGGGCCGTGATGAGGATTCAAATCTATGTCCGTCGTTATGCGTGAGTAGTGATGCGTGATGCAATCAACTAAGGCGTGTCTGGGATCATCCCAGACGTTGGTTTGAACTCTTATTACGGCCCTTGTGGATTTGTTAATTCAACATACAGTATTGTTCATGTAAATATTTATAACATGATGTAGAAATTACTTGTTTTCCTAAGTTTTGCATAATTATATCACCCAAAAATTGCATTTTCAGTTAATTTTGTCTGTGACATTTTTTGTTAAATTAATGTATGTATGTGCATGGATACATACTGCTACATACATGATGAAGTTGAATAAATTTTTTTAATTTTATTATCTAGTAATTTACCTAAAAATTGATTTTAACCATGTTTACAGATTTAGTGATTGATGATATATATACAGTATTAGACGTTGGTTTTGAGCAAGCTTTATATTTTGATAACGTGTGTTAGTTTACTTTTCTATAGTAATGTGTATCTGATACAGCCCTCATTAAGCACGACTTGATAAACATGTTCTGGCAAGATCCACGATGGATCGAAACGTTGTCGCTTACATAAATAACCTGACCCCCACACATGAACTATTTCAGCTGTGTTATTGTGCCGTGTTATCTGTGTAACTTCTGCCAGGGGTTCAGAACTGAAAGATGTTTCTTGACCTAAATTTTGTTCAATATAATACAAAAAATAATTGTAAATATAACATTTTGTTTGGATAATACACTGCTTCTATGTCCGGATGAATTTGGGTGGATATAAATAAAATCTGCCTCAAATAGGCTAACAGGGGTCTCTGCAGTTTTCTTTATTCTTTGGTAATTGTATTAATGTAATTGCCATCCATCAGCTGTTACGTGTCTTGATTAACTACAATTTTATTTCACTTCTTTGGTTTTGGTTTTCTATTTCCTTATTTGCCTAACAATTCTAACATCATTAATTATGCAGAAATTAAGTCATGATAACATGGCTGCAAATTTACAATCCAATGTGTGATATGGAAAAGAAACAAGGCGCTTGGCTCATTCTGGACCATTATCAACTTGTTGCATTTTGTTGCAACCTGATAAGGGTTTAGGACAGGCTCAATCATCATCATTTTCCTTTCATGTTAATTATCGTATTATGAAATTCAATTTTTGTTTTGTTAATATGATTTTTTTTTTTAGTGCTTCAAATAGACTGGCATAAATTTTCTATTGATCATCACTCTTAAATTGCTTTCAGTTTCTCGGCAGTGAATCTTTAAAAGATAGAGCTCCAGGGTTTTCAAATTTAATTTTTTTGCACATACAGTTGTAACTTGCCTGAAACATATTCCTGTTCATATGTATGGGTTGGGCTGTTTATTTTTATCCATGTTATTATGACTGTATTGTTGCTTTGATTTGTGCCTTGTCTCTATTGATTCAATATGTTGGACTGTACATTATCTAACTTATATAAAAGACTGGCATCCAGTGTCTGTTATTGTCGTACATAGCAGTAACTGTTACCGGCAGTCATTGAAATTAAATATAGTTGCACGTACTGTATACATTTTACCGATGTCACCCAGTAGCGCACAACTGTATGGTCCCAGCTTTGATTCCCCAGGAAGGACGAGACTTTGGCACATATTCTTAGACATGATGTCTCTATACAAAAAGGAGTACTGTAAATATTTGTGAATTAGGCAACTGTTGTGGGTTGCATCCTGGAGAAGTTCAGTCATTGACATAGAGCGACCTCAATATATTTAACAGACTTCGTGTTCCTGATAATGGGAAACCAAAAATACACTGGAATTTGATTTAAGTTTTTTTTTTTTTGCACATTATTATTCTTTATTCCATCTGCTCACAAGATGAGTATGAGGTGCACAATAAACTACACTCAGAAGATGAGTATGGGGTGCATAATAAACTCTCAACATGAGTATGAGTCCCATAAACTGCCACTCACAGGATCTGAATGGGGTGCACAAAAAATCTCACAGAATGAATGTGAGATGCAGAAACTACTTGCTCATGGAGGCGTATCGGGTGCACAATAAACTACCCACAGGATAAGTATGTTGCACAAGCTATTGCTCACATGATGAGTATGGGATGCACAATTAATTACTATTCAGAGCATAAATAAAAGGTCTTCAAAAACTGTTGATAGTAAGATGAATATCGAGGTGCACAATAAATGAAAAATGACAGAATGAGTGCTGGATGCAAATCAAATATCAGTGAGTATGGTGGTTGTACAATAAACTACCACTGAGGGTGAATATGGAGTGCACAATTAACTACCACAGTGTATGAGCTGCATCTTTCAAGATTACATGCAGCAAAACCTACTCCCAGGATGAGTATGAGAACAATCTACTATTCACAGCATGAGTATGGGCACAAACTACTATTCACAGGATGAGTATGCAGACCAGATTAAACTACCACTTACAGGATGAATATTGGGTGCACAATAAACTACTAATCATAGATGAATATTGGGTGCACAATAAACTAATCATAGATGAATATTGGGTGCACAATAAACTACTAATCATAGATGAATATTGGGTGCACAATAAACTGCTAATCATAGATGAATATTGGGTGCACAATAAACTACTAATCATAGATGAATATTGGGTGCACAATAAACTGCTAATCATAGATGAATATTGGGTGCACAATAAACTGCTAATCATAGATGAATATCTTGCACAATAAACTACTAATCATAGATGAATATTGGGTGCACAATAAACTACTAATCATAGATGAATATTGGGTGCACAATAAACTACTAATCATAGATGAATATTGGGTGCACAATAAACTACTAATCATAGATGAATATTGGGTGCACAATAAACTACTGCTCACTGGGTGAGTACCGGGCGCACAATACATAAAGCCAGTAGGCGGGGGCACAAGAGCAAGACCTCACTCCCCCGTAGTCACTGTTAGGTAAGTACAGGAACAACAAGACCAGTACGTATGGTAGCTGCATGAATGCACATATACCTAAATGTGTTCTTAAAAATAAATATTACCTCACCTGGCTCCCACGGCCTCACCAGCCCTCAGTCACCACCTCGTCAGGGTGCAGGAAGGACCGAAACGTCGCCACTTTCATTTAACTTACCATTGGATGTTTTATTGATTTTGTTCATTTATTAGTGGTCCCCATACCCATCCTGTAGGTGGTAGTGGACCCCATACCCATCCTGTAGGTGGTAGTGGACCCCATACCCATCCTGTAGGTGGTAGTGGACCCCATACCCATCCTGTAGGTGGTAGTGGACCCTATACCCATCCTGTAGGTGGTAGTGGACCCCATACCCATCCTGTAGGTGGTAGTGGACCCCATACCCATCCTGTAGGTGGTAGTGGACCCTATACCCATCCTGTAGGTGGTAGTGGACCCCATACCCATCCTGTAGGTGGTAGTGGACCCTATACCCATCCTGTAGGTGGTAGTGGACCCCATACCCATCCTGTAGGTGGTAGTGGACCCCATACCCATCCTGTAGGTGGTAGTGGACCCCATACCCATCCTGTAGGTGGTACTGGACCCCATACCCATCCTGTAGGTGGTAGTGGACCCCATACCCATCCTGTAGGTGGTAGTGGACCCTATACGTATCCTGTAGGTGGTACTGGACCCCATTCCTACCCCGTGGGCAGAAGTGGTCCCCATACCCATCCTGTAGGTGGTAGTGGACCCCATACTTATCCTGTAGGCGGTAGTGGACCCTATACCCATCCTGTAGGTGGTAGTGGACCCCATACTTATCCTGTAGGCGGTAGTGGACCCTATACCCATCCTGTAGGTGGTAGTGGTCCCCATACCCATCCTGTAGGTGGTAGTGGACCCCATACTTATCCTGTAGGCGGTAGTGGACCCCATACCCATCCTGTAGGTGGTAGTGGTCCCCATACCCATCCTGTAGGTGGTAGTGGTCCCCATACCCATCCTGTAGGTGGTAGTGGACCCCATACTTATCCTGTAGGCGGTAGTGGACCCTATACGTATCCTGTAGGTGGTACTGGACCCCATTCCTACCCCGTGGGCGGAAGTGGACCTCATACCCATCCTGTAGGTGGTAGTAGACCTCATACTTATCCCGTAGGCGGTAGTGGACACCATACTCATCCTGTGGGCGGTGTAGTGGGCGGAAGTCCATACCCACCCCTGTGGGTGGTAGTGGACCACATACCCATCCTGTGGGCGGTAGTGGACCCCATACCCACCCCGTGGGCGGAAGTGCAAAACAAGGTAACATTGGCTCAGGAACTGAACCCCCCAAAATCATGTCAGTAAGCAAGTCACAGTATTTATAACCCTGTAGCACAGTTTAATGTACATCATTAGTCTTTTATAGCACAATTAGTACAAATAACTGGCCCACAACAGTCACTAACCTGAGCAATATGTGATTTAACAACTTACATGTAGTTTATTTAGCAATAACCACCTTACCTGAGATAAGAAATAATCTAGGAGTTTCCTTGTTGGTTAACTTCAATTTTCCTGGTGACGTGCTGCCTCCGGTGTGTTCAGAGAGCTCCAGGTCACCGTCAGGACACCTGCCTGCTGTTGTAGTGAGGACGAGGGTAGGGTGTGGACGACACACCTGCTGTAGTGTGGACGAGGGTAGGGTGTGGACGACACACCTGCTGTAGTGTGGACAAGGGTAGGGTGTATACGACACACCTGCTGTAGTGTGGACAAGGGTAGGGTGTATACGACACACCTGCTGTAGTGTGGACAAGGGTAGGGTGTAGACGACACACCTGCTGTAGTGTGGACAAGGGTAGGGTGTAGACGACACACCTGCTGTAGTGTGGACAAGGGTAGGGTGTAGACGACACACCTGCTGTAGTGTGGACGAGGGTAGGGTGTAGACGACACACCTGCTGTAGTGTGGACGAGGGTAGGGTGTGGACGACACACCTGCTGTAGTGTGGACGAGGGTAGGGTGTGGACGACACACCTGCTGTAGTGTGGACGAGGGTAGGGTGTGGACGACACACCTGCTGTAGTGTGGACGAGGGTAGGGTGTAGACGACACACCTGCTGTAGTGTGGACGAGGGTAGGGTGTAGACGACACACCTGCTGTAGTGTGGACGACGGAAGGGTGTGGACGACACACCTGCTGTAGTGTGGACGAGGGTAGGGTGTGGACGACACACCTGCTGTAGCGTGGACGAGGGTAGGGTGTGGACGACACACCTGCTGTAGTGTGGACGAGGGTAGGGTGTAGACGACACACCTGCTGTAGTGTGGACGAGGGTAGGGTGTAGACGACACACCTGCTGTAGTGTGGACGACGGAAGGGTGTGGACGACACACCTGCTGTAGTGTGGACGAGGGTAGGGTGTGGACGACACACCTGCTGTAGCGTGGACGAGGGTAGGGTGTGGACGACACACCTGCTGGAGTGAGGACGTCATCATGCCCCGGGGTGGAGTGAGCCAGCCACATTTCCTCATTCCACTCTGACACATCACCTCATAAGCCTATCACAAATTCGTACACATTATTGGCTACCGAAGACCTCTAGCAGATTGAGTTCGCTCATTTATTATGCACCTCATACCCACTGTTTAGTGGGCTATCACAGGATCAGCCCATCCTCCTAGAGGTGCCCCAACTTAATGAAACTATCGTACTAAAGTGCCCTTATCCTAACCTACCAGAGGACCCAAAACAGAAAACGGGACAATGTGTCAAATTCGCAACCCGCCACCATTCACTAGTACGACAATTCTGGGTTTTGGGAAAGTGTACGTCAAAATGTGACGTTCTATTAGGAGGACGGGTTACATGTCCATGTCGAAACCGTACTGCAAAGGTTGTACATATATATATATATATATATATATATATATATATATATATATATATATATATATATATATATATATATATATATGTACATACCAGATGCGTTGCTTCTGGGAGTATGGGTTCGAGTCACTTCTGGGGTGTGAGTTTTCAGTTGCATATGTCCTGGGGACCATTCAGGCTTGTTCGCATTTGTGTTCCTCACGTGTTGCCCCAAAGAATGAGGTGATTTGGTAAAATGCTATGCCCAAGATAACTATCCGAGTGCCGGCGGTGGGGTGGTTCAAATAGCCTCGGCTATCACCTCATTTTGTCCGGTCGTGATGGTCAAGTGGATTAAGGCGTCTTGTACATACCAGATGCGTTGCTTCTGGGAGTATGGGTTCGAGTCACTTCTGGGGTGTGAGTTTTCAGTTGCATATGTCCTGGGGACCATTCAGGCTTGTTCGCATTTGTGTTCCTCACGTGTTGCCCCAAAGAATGAGGTGATTTGGTAAAATGCTATGCCCAAGATAACTATCCGAGTGCCGGCGGTGGGGTGGTTCAAATAGCCTCGGCTATCACCTCATTTTGTCCGGTCGTGATGGTCAAGTGGATTAAGGCGTCTTGTACATACCAGATGCGTTGCTTCTGGGAGTATGGGTTCGAGTCACTTCTGGGGTGTGAGTTTTCAGTTGCATATGTCCTGGGGACCATTCAGGCTTGTTCGCATTTGTGTTCCTCACGTGTTGCCCCAAAGAATGAGGTGATTTGGTAAAATGCTATGCCCAAGATAACTATCCGAGTGCCGGCGGTGGGGTGGTTCAAATAGCCTCGGCTATCACCTCATTTTGTCCGGTCGTGATGGTCAAGTGGATTAAGGCGTCTTGTACATACCAGATGCGTTGCTTCTGGGAGTATGGGTTCGAGTCACTTCTGGGGTGTGAGTTTTCAGTTGCATATGTCCTGGGGACCATTCAGGCTTGTTCGCATTTGTGTTCCTCACGTGTTGCCCCAAAGAATGAGGTGATTTGGTAAAATGCTATGCCCAAGATAACTATCCGAGTGCCGGCGGTGGGGTGGTTCAAATAGCCTCGGCTATCACCTCATTTTGTCCGGTCGTGATGGTCAAGTGGATTAAGGCGTCTTGTACATACCAGATGCGTTGCTTCTGGGAGTATGGGTTCGAGTCACTTCTGGGGTGTGAGTTTTCAGTTGCATATGTCCTGGGGACCATTCAGGCTTGTTCGCATATATATATATATATATATATATATAAATGTGGGTGCTATGAAAGTTTAAGTGAACATGTATTAACATTTAATAACATTTAAAAGCCGTGTATATGTGTTACGGTAATGTTGTGACTGCTCAGGTGGGCATGGTGGAGGGAGGACCACGAGGACCCAGCAAGATGGCGGCGGTGAGGCTGAGAGTGACCCCTCTGGCCGGCTACCTGTTGGCCCTAGCCGTCTACAGCACCCTCATGCTCATAGTCACCCTGGACCCCGACCTCGACCCCCAGCAGCAGCAGCAGGAGGAGGGTGTCTCCCGCGGGCACCAGGCTCCCCAGCACCACCCCGCCGCCACCTTCCCTCACGCGCCCCTCACAAGGTAACGTAAACAGTAATAGTTTCTGTGTATGGAAAAAAACGTTCACGAAGTTCTGGGAAACGTTCAAGAAGTTCTGAGAAAAAATATTCAGGATAAACAAGGAGTAAAATTTAAACTTTTGCCCAATTAATGAAAGGGAAATTACAACTCAAGTCGATAACAGAGCTGCAGCACTACTCCCGACGCAAACAATAGACCTTGACAACATACGCGATGACTGCCACCTTATGAAACACATAACCTTTGCAGAGGTCCATAAAACAATTATGGGTTTCAAGAACAAGGCGCCGGGCAACAGCAAGATAAATAAGATGGTATTATCCAACCTACCAGTGATTGCACTCCATCAATACACATGTATCTTAAATGCAGCTCTTGCATCTGGACTATTCCCCACATACTTCAAGAATGCCACAATAAGATTAATCCCCAAGCCAGGTAAACCCCCAACCCAAACTGAAAACTACAGGCCAATTTCCCTCCTCGAAGTACCAGGTAAAATATTCGAAAAAATTATCAATCAGAGACTGGTGAAGTACATGGAAGAGGAAGGGAAGTATAACACCAGGCAGCATGGGTTTAGAAACCGCAGAGGGGGCCATACAGCTATAGCCCTGATCTACCAGCATATAGCCAACGCAGTGTCGAAAAAGATCAGTGTAACATAGTGCTTAAGAGACGTTTTAAAAGCCTTCGACTAAGTGTGGCACACAGGCCTAAAATATAAGATATCTGAACTAGGACTTCCTGAGAGATTTACTGCTACTCTCTGCAGCTTTGTAGACAACAGAACTGCTAGGCTTAATATCTTTTTTTTATCTTTATTTAAAAAAATACAATATAAATCACATATACATAAGTGTTACAAGGCAATTATACATTACAATTCTTAGTGAACAAGTGTTTCAGTAGTACTGAACAAGATCTTTAGAAAAAAAACTGAATGTTAAACTTATGTACCCACAAACGATTTACAAAAATTGGAGAATAAATTTACATTAAAATACAGGGGAAATCAGCAGCTACTTGGGTGACGTAATAGAACTGAAAAGTGGAGTACCACAAGGAAGCTGCCTCTTCCCCACTCTACTCAACATATATACAGCTGACCTACCCCAACCCCAACATGGAGAATACATCACATACGCTGATGATGTTACCCAAATAATATGCCAACCGGGACCATCAAAGCCGCTACTAGCCGACAAGACCAAGGGAGGAATTGAACTCATAAACAACTTTGAGAAGCAATGGAAAATTAGCATCAACAAACAAAAGTTTCAGATAATACACATTGCGAAAAGAAACCCGGACCCCATCATCCTTGACAACCATCCGATCCAATATGCGGAGGTAGGCAGAATACTGGAACATAAATAGAACAGGGATACAAACTCATGTAAGGGACCGACTAAACAGAGCCAAAGCAGCCTTAGGAAAATTGAGGAGATTCCGAAGCCTCAGTACTAACATTCAGATTCACCTATATAAGGCTCTAGTTCGGCCGCATCTAGAATATCCCCCAGTACCACTACACACCATAAAGAAAACTAACATGCAGAAACTGCAGGCAGTGCAAAATAAGGCGCTAAGGAGAGCAGCAAAACACTATCCACCATATGATCAAACAATCCAGGAGCTCCATGAGCTCTTGAACATTCAGCCACTAAACATCAGACTGCAGCACCAAGCCATCAGGGTGTGGAACACCATCGAAATGTTGGAGGACCCAATGTTAGAAAGATTGCTCCAAGATGAGACGCCCCACTCCCCACAGCTGGTGGCCCAAGATAAGACGCCCCGCTCCCCACAGCTGGTGGCCCAAGAGCCTCGATTGATTAGATGCAAACCCCGCCTCACAGTACATAATTCCCAGATGAAATAGTAGTATTAGGCAACCTTCAGTCTCGGGAGACTATGGAGTTGCGCCCTGGTTGTCAATCCTGGTGCAGCGTCTGGTGTGACTGATGAGGCCAATCCGAGAGTGGCAGTCCATCCCACACCGAGCACAAACGAAGTCCGATTCTGGTCTGTCTTCCTGGCTACCGGCTTCCCTTCTCTGTCTCTTTGCCTCCGATTTCTTGGCAAGTGACTCCTCGAACTTGGAGAGACCTCTCTGAACAGACTGCCTCCAGGCTGAACTGTCTACGGCCAGTGTTTCCCACGTGGCAAGATCGACGTCCATGGCTTTCAGGTCTCTCTTGCATACGTCTTTATACCGTAGCTTTGTATTTCATCTTTGTACAGATGAAATACTGACCAGATATCCTTCCCCCATAATTGGAAAAAATGAGTGTATGTGTGTAGGTACGTGTATGTGTGTATAGTTGTGTATATGCATATGTATATTGGTGTATATTATATATGTATGTATGTGTGCATGTATGAATAACTCAATAAATAATAAAATAAAGAGCCTTAAACAGAACAACATGTGTGGAAGCATCGGAGTGTGTATATATGAATGCTACACAGTATTCATCTATGGACATCCATATATGGTGAAACACATGTGAAGAACCTCTCACACACTCACAGCTCCCTGACAAGAGGGAGCCAGCTTAGCTTAGCTGCCAACACCCACACATGGTGTCAGCAAGGCGGACAGCCCGCCTGCTATCATACCTCTCACTGTATTCCCCACTTCTATACTTCCCTTCACCTATGCCTCTCCTTCCACTTTACTCCCTCCCCCCCCCAAAAAAGGAAGTAAACGCAAACATAATAATAACATTTATAAAAAAATTATAATAATAAATTTATAATGTAAACAGTAATATATATATTTAATTCTTTTTATACAGAAGAATATTTAATTAATCCATAAAATGTATTATAAATTGCGTTTAATAATAATTCATAATAATAGCTGTATGTGGATAATAAAATAATTTAAGTGGCATAAAGTTATGATATATTTATACCTGACGAGGTGAGGCTTCCATGCCGACGCTGCGTATCCCAGCACGCGTCTGACATAGGTTGTGCTGATTCTTTTCAAACAGTCAATATTGTGAATATATAAATGCCACTATGATGCTGGGATTATGTCCACTCTTAAGACCCTTCCTCTGTATGATTCCTGGTGATGATTGTTAGTAGTCTTCACACCATCATTACCTTACACTTGCTGCTGTTGAACTCTTAGGTGGCCCACCAGTACTCTCCCTTCTGGGTGATAGAGTGGATGTGTGCTGCTCCGTCTGGATGTCATGGTGGATGAGTAATGGCTGACTCTTCTCCAGGCCTCGACGTGCCGCCATGCGGGTGAGACGCGTGGATGACTTCTACAACTGGATGAAGGTTCCCCAGACCTCCTGTGACAAGCTTCTCTCGCTTGGTGGGACCTATTGTAAAGGGTGAGTGGTGGCCCAGTGGTGGTGGGTCAGTGGTGGGTCAGTGGTGGTGGGTCAGTGGTGGTGGTGGGTCAGTGGTGGTGGGTCAGTGGTGGTGGGCCAGTGGTGGTGGGTCAGTGGTGGTGGTGGCTCAGTGGTGGTGGGTCAGTGGTGGTGGGCCAGTGGTGGTGGCCCAGTGGTGGTGGGTCAGTGGTGGTGGTGGGTCAGTGGTGGTGGGTCAGTGGTGGTGGGCCAGTGGTGGTGGGTCAGTGGTGGTGGTGGCTCAGTGGTGGTGGGTCAGTGGTGGTGGGCCAGTGGTGGTGGCCCAGTTATATATGGTGGACTAACACTGAAAGAATTAGTTAGTGACAGTTATATAATTACTGTAATTAACCTATTTATCAAGCTGTGAATATTTTTTTAGGTAAAACTGTTTCACTTAATAATAATAATAATAATAATAATAATATTATTATTATTATACAATGAAATCACATTTATTTAATTATTTATATTGTGACATGAAAAAGAACGGTTGTTAGTGCAGTCGCTATTAGGGCAGCTGGAATGATGTCACATTAAACAAAAAAGAAAGTAAAAATAAAGTAGACTGCTTGGTGAGGTCTCCACAGTGAAGTAACTGCTTGGTGAGGTCTCCACAGTGAAGTAACTGCTTGGTGACGTCTCCACAGTGAAGTAACTACTTGGTGACGTCTCCACAGTGAAGTAACTGCTTGGTGACGTCTCCACAGTGAAGTAACTGCTTGGTGACGTCTCCACAGTGAAGTAACTACTTGGTGACGTCTCCACAGTGAAGTAGACTGCTTGGTGAGGTCTGCTTGGTGACGTCTCCACAGTGAAGTAGACACAGTGAAGTAACTGCTTGGTGAGGTCTTCACAGTGAAGTAACTGCTTGGTGACGTCTCCACAGTGAAGTAGACTGCTTGGTGACGTCTCCACAGTGAAGTAACTGCTTGGTGAGGTCTTCACAGTGAAGTAACTGCTTGGTGACGTCTCCACAGTGAAGTAACTGCTTGGTGACGTCTCCACAGTGAAGTAACTACTTGGTGACGTCTCCACAGTGAAGTAACTGCTTGGTGACGTCTCCACAGTGAAGTAGACTGCTTGGTGAGGTCTCCACAGTGAAGTAGACTGCTTGGTGACGTCTCCACAGTGAAGTAGACTGCTTGGTGACGTCTCCACAGTGAAGTAGACTGCTTGGTGATGTCTCCACAGTGAAGTAGACTGCTTGGTGACGTCTCCACAGTGAAGTAGACTGCTTGGTGACGTCTCCACAGTGAAGTAGACTGCTTGGTGATGTCTCCACAGTGAAGTAGACTGCTTGGTGACGTCTCCACAGTGAAGTAACTGCTTGGTGACGTCTCCACAGTGAAGTAACTGCTTGGTGAGGTCTCCACAGTGAAGTAGACTGCTTGGTGACGTCTTCACAGTGAAGTAACTGCTTGGTGAAGTAGACTGTCTCCACAGTGAAGTAACTGCTTGGTGACAGTCTCCACAGTGAAGTAGACTGCTTGGTGACGTCTCCACAGTGAAGTAACTGCTTGGTGAGGTCTCCACAGTGAAGTAGACTGCTTGGTGACGTCTCCACAGTGAAGTAACTGCTTGGTGACGTCTTCACAGTGAAGTAACTGCTTGGTGAGGTCTCCACAGTGAAGTAGACTGCTTGGTGACGTCTCCACAGTGAAGTAACTGCTTGGTGACGTCTTCACAGTGAAGTAACTGCTTGGTGAGGTCTCCACAGTGAAGTAGACTGCTTGGTGACGTCTCCACAGTGAAGTAACTGCTTGGTGACGTCTCCACAGTGAAGTAACTGCTTGGTGACGTCTCCACAGTGAAGTAACTGCTTGGTGACGTCTCCACAGTGAAGTAACTGCTTGGTGACGTCTCCACAGTGAAGTAACTGCTTGGTGACGTCTCCACAGTGAAGTAACTGCTTGGTGACGTCTCCACAGTGAAGTAACTGCTTGGTGATGTCTCCACAGTGAAGTAACTGCTTGGTGACGTCTCCACAGTGAAGTAACTGCTTGGTGATGTCTCCACAGTGAAGTAGACTGCTTGGTGACGTCTCCACAGTGAAGTAACTGCTTGGTGACGTCTCCACAGTGAAGTAACTGCTTGGTGACGTCTCCACAGTGAAGTAACTGCTTGGTGACGTCTCCACAGTGAAGTAGACTGCTTGGTGACGTCTCCACAGTGAAGTAACTGCTTGGTGACGTCTCCACAGTGAAGTAACTGCTTGGTGAGGTCTCCACAGTGAAGTAGACTGCTTGGTGACGTCTTCACAGTGAAGTAACTGCTTGGTGAGGTCTCCACAGTGAAGTAACTGCTTGGTGAGGTCTCCACAGTGAAGTAGACTGCTTGGTGACGTCTTCACAGTGAAGTAACTGCTTGGTGACGTCTTCACAGTGAAGTAACTGCTTGGTGAGGTCTCCACAGTGAAGTAGACTGCTTGGTGACGTCTCCACAGTGAAGTAACTGCTTGGTGACGTCTTCACAGTGAAGTAACTGCTTGGTGAGGTCTCCACAGTGAAGTAGACTGCTTGGTGACGTCTCCACAGTGAAGTAACTGCTTGGTGACGTCTTCACAGTGAAGTAACTGCTTGGTGACGTCTCCACAGTGAAGTAACTGCTTGGTGAGGTCTCCACAGTGAAGTAGACTGCTTGGTGACGTCTCCACAGTGAAGTAACTGCTTGGTGACGTCTCCACAGTGAAGTAACTGCTTGGTGACGTCTCCACAGTGAAGTAACTGCTTGGTGACGTCTCCACAGTGAAGTAACTGCTTGGTGACGTCTCCACAGTGAAGTAACTGCTTGGTGACGTCTCCACAGTGAAGTAACTGCTTGGTGACGTCTCCACAGTGAAGTAACTGCTTGGTGACGTCTCCACAGTGAAGTAACTACTTGGTGACGTCTCCACAGTGAAGTAACTGCTTGGTGAGGTCTCCACAGTGAAGTAACTGCTTGGTGAGGTCTCCACAGTGAAGTAGACTGCTTGGTGACGTCTTCACAGTGAAGTAACTGCTTGGTGACGTCTTCACAGTGAAGTAACTGCTTGGTGAGGTCTCCACAGTGAAGTAACTGCTTGGTGACGTCTCCACAGTGAAGTAACTGCTTGGTGACGTCTCCACAGTGAAGTAACTGCTTGGTGAGGTCTCCACAGTGAAGTAACTGCTTGGTGAGGTCTCCACAGTGAAGTAACTGCTTGGTGACGTCTTCACAGTGAAGTAACTGCTTGGTGAGGTCTCCACAGTGAAGTAGACTGCTTGGTGAGGTCTCCACAGTGAAGTAACTGCTTGGTGACGTCTCCACAGTGAAGTAACTGCTTGGTGACGTCTCCACAGTGAAGTAACTGCTTGGTGACGTCTTCACAGTGAAGTAACTGCTTGGTGATGTCTCCACAGTGAAGTAACTGCTTGGTGACGTCTCCACAGTGAAGTAACTGCTTGGTGAGGTCTCCACAGTGAAGTAACTGCTTGGTGATGTCTCCACAGTGAAGTAACTGCTTGGTGACGTCTCCACAGTGAAGTAACTGCTTGGTGACGTCTCCACAGTGAAGTAACTGCTTGGTGATGTCTCCACAGTGAAGTAACTGCTTGGTGACGTCTCCACAGTGAAGTAACTGCTTGGTGATGTCTCCACAGTGAAGTAACTGCTTAGTGACGTCTCCACAGTGAAGTAACTGCTTGGTGATGTCTCCACAGTGAAGTAACTGCTTGGTGACGTCTCCACAGTGAAGTAGACTGCAAGATTAAACATAAAAGAGGGCAAAAATTGAAATACTTTATTATGGAAAAAATGACTTAACAACAAATAAAAATAGTTCCTTATAGATTTGGCAATATTACAATGTGCAAAATGAACAAAATAATCAAAGAAACAATTTAACGTTACGTTAAGGAACAAACAATAAAATGGATCGGGAACACTGTATGCCAGGCTGCGTAACTCTACTGCCACACAGAGTCCTATGTTAGCAGATCCAGGCAGTGTAGCACTGAGGAGTATTCTGAAGTGTTGATTAATGATTGATTGATGAAGATTAATCCACCCAAAAGGTGGCACGGGCATGAATAGCCCGTAAGTGATGGCCCTTATGAGCCATTACCAGTATCAAGAGCTGATACTGGAGATCTGTGGAGGTGCGACTGCACCCTGCGTGACGGGAGATGTCTCCCGTGTGAAGGGTGGTGGTGTTGTTGTTGTTAAAGATTTAGCTACTCAGGACGAAGTGTCCATGTAGCACGGGCTATGGTGAGCCCGTAAAATGTGTGGTGGTGGCTAGCTTCTATTTATATGGGAGCTGGACCAAGGTAGGTGGCGCTGGTGTCTTCGATAATTGGAGGCCGGGTCATACAAACTACCATTGTGCTGGTTCCCGGCCGGTAGTGTGAGCTCCCAGCCACCAGGTGTGATGGGGTGCCGGCGCTGGAGTGTAGAGGGGAGTAGACTAAAGATGATTGATTGATGCAGGTTCGAATCATTCTCATTTCTTCAACTGATTTTCTCTATTATTATTATTATTATTATTATTATTATTATTATTATTATTATTATTATTATTATTATTATTATTATTATTATTATTATTATTATTATTATTATTATTATTATGCCATTAATATAATTATAAAATGCGGAAAACATTTAGATGTTAATTTAGAGGGGCCAGATTCACGAAGCAGTTACGCTAGTACTTACGAACGTGTACATCTTTCCTCAATCTTTGATACCTTTGGTTACATTTATTAAACATTTTATAAGCATGCAAACTTGCTAATCAACTGTTGTTATTGTTATAAACAGCCTCCTGGTGCTTCCGAGCTCATTAACTCTTTAATAATTGTAAACAAAGCCGCCAAAGATTGAGAAAAGATGGACAGGTTCGTAAGTGCTTGCGTAACTGCTTCGTGAATCTGGCACGGGCAGGGAGGGAAGGGGGGGGGGTTGCCTGCTTGTCTTAACTGACTATAATAATGTTGACCTATCCCAACCTAACTTTCAGCACCGCTCCTGTGCCAGGTAAGTTACGGGCTCACCATAGCCCGTGCTACTTGGAACTTGTTCCGAGTAGCTGAATCTATAACAAGAACAACAACCCAACCTAACCCAACGTAGCCTTACCCAACGTAGCCTTACCCAACGTAGCCTTACCCAACCTAACTATTGAAACCTAATCTAATCTAACCTTAACTATTGTAACCTAGCCTAGCCTAACGTTACCTGACTTCACCTTACCTTACCCTACCTTACCTAACCTAAACCAACCCATCTCGATTGATTGATGAAGATTAAGCCACCACGAGAGGTGGTTTAATCTTCACTTAATCTTAACCACAAGAGATATTCATGCATGGGCATGAATAACCCGTAGCTGGTGGTAGACATTAGGAGCGAATGTAAGTCTTTGGTGGTGTAACAAGTCGATGTATCTCTGAACATATCTCCCCCTGTGATATGTTGATATCTTGCTGTATATACTTGATATCTAGCGGTATAATCACAGCAAGAAATCCAGCCAACCATCCCATCTGGGAATGGGTTCCATTGAGCCGTGTGTAATGTGGTGGTGTGTGTGTGTCAGGGGCGTCGACAACGACAAGTATGTGTGCCTGGACGACGACGTCGCCCTCAGACCCGGCAACTGTACCGTCTACTCCTTCGGCATCGGCAATGACGCCACCTTCGACGACCAGGTACGCCCATCTCTCCCCCGACTCCCGGGCAGATGACGTAGATGTAACGTTAATCATTCTTTATATATATATATATATATATATATATATATATATATATATATATATATATATATATATATATATATATATATATATATATATATATATATATATATATATATTATATAATATGAGTGTCAGATCACGGAGGAAAATTGAAACAGGAATTTCCTTAAGTACTTTCGTATATTAATACATCTTCAGAAGGAGTCTGAAGATGATTAATACATCGTCAGAAGGAGTCACCTTCAGAAGGTGACTCCTTCTGAAGATGTATTAATATACGAAAGTACTTAAGGAAATTCCTGTTTCAATTTTCCTCCGTGGTCTGACACTGTCACATTTTTAATCACGTGTTTATTTTTCGTGATTTACGCACATTATATAATATATATAAAGCATCATTGATGGGACTCTAAACATTTCCTTCAATGCCTTTTATGTCCCTTTCTCCAAGGCTATGGGTCTCCTTTCCAACCAGAGGTGGTACCCCCTTCTATAGATACATAAAACTGTACATACAATAGCTTAAAACATTAAGTTCAAATGATTCCTCCAGGGTCTCGAACTTAGGCCGCCAGAAGTGGGTATTACACCCATTCAACCAACGACAGCGTTCATGGTTAGTGAACAGAGTACTGGGCTGTCACTCTGGTGATCTAGGTTCGAACCTTTTGAGGGATCATTTGAGTTTACTATTGAAAAACTGTTGCTTGGGGACCATACAAGCTCTACATATTATATATGTGTATTGTATCGTTACACAGGCTAGTTACTTCGGGTGTGAAGTGCACATGTTTGACCCTAGTGTCAACAAGACGGTCATCATCAACACTAACCTTAAGAATCAACACTTCTACCCTATTGGTCTGCACGTCACACACTTTGTGAGTACCCACCTGTACCCGCGCGCTCATTGTTCAAACTCTTTACGATAGCAATGTATTGGATAACGTGATGATTAGTTCCGGGTACGGTATGTTATTTTGTTATGCCACTGTCTTGGGTTTAAGGCCTAGCAGCCTGGTTTGGTGTTGGGTCTATCATCCTCTGCAGGGTAATTAAGGCCAAGACAATAGGCTACTGAGCACTCACCAGGTTTAGTGTTGGGCTTAAAGCCTATCCCCGTCTACAGGGTTATTAAGGCCGCCACAACAGCTTACTGACCAACCAGAAAGTATACTTCAGTCTTGAACATTGTCAATGACAAAAGTAAACAGTATATACATACACCGAGAAGCTGGATATACACACCTCTGTGTCTATATACACTTTCTGCCGGTGTATTCATACTAGATATTGGTGTGTCGAGGAAACACTGATAGATTTCATGGTTTCAGAACAGCAGCTTCAAGATACAGTATACTGAAAACTATACTGAGTTTATCCAGGGCGAGTTTGACACCTACGACAGTATACGCTCCCGTCTGGGCCACCAGCAGCGTCCTGTCCACTACCTCAAGGTCAGTCTGTCTCCCGTCCCAGCCTCTGGTAATGACAGTACTTACCTGCAAGCTAATCAGAAATGCATTTATTTATTTATTTATTTATTTACAGAAAGATACATTGGGGTTAAAGAGAACATAGTAATAAGGATGATTTTACAGTCTTGTAAAGCCATTAGCACGCATAGCGTTTCGGGCAAGAAATTCAGGCATTTCACCTTTGTAAACGCACATTAATGACGCTATGTAAAAAGACACATCAAACACTGTTCATGTAGGACAGATGTAAATCCGTATATTTATGTTTGTAGCTTGGCCTAGCATTGTAAAAGCACTACAATCACCTTCTGTGGTTGATTGTTCAATAAATTCCTGAACTATATGTTTAATAGATCTTTCACCCTGTCCATGGAGGACAGAAGAAAATGTATATATGCTGGTTAGCATGGTAAATGTCTGGCCACGTCTGTGGTAGAAAAAATAATAATAATACATATAATAATAACAAAGTACTTACACCAACTAGGTGATCAAACGTACAGATACGGACCGTTGCCGCCACCAATATTCACGTTGTCTACCATAACTTTTGTAGATGGCTTAAAAGAAGTAAAACTAAACTTACACAGTCTTAGGCCCAGAATAGTATATATATATATATATATATATATATATATATATATATATATATATATATATATATATATATATATATATATATATATATATATATATATATATATATATACTAGTTTTTGCATATTTAATGCCTCTAACCTCTCCTCGTAGCTCTTGCCCTTCAGTTCTGGGAGCCACTTAGTAGCATGTCTTTGCACCTTTTCCAGTTTGTTGATGTGCTTCTTAAGATATGGGCACCACACAACCGCTGCATATTCTAGCTTTGGCCTAACAAAAGTTGTGAACAATTTCTTTAGTATATCGCCATCCATGTGTTTAAAAGCAATTCTGAAGTTAGAAAGCGTGGCATAGGCTTCTCGCACAATATTCCTTATGTGGTCCTCAGGTGATAGTTTTCTATCTAGAACCACCCCTAGATCTCTTTCTTTATCAGAATTCTTTAAAGATTTCTCACATAATATATAGGTTGTGTGGGGTCTATGTTCTCCTATTCCACATTCCATAACATGGCATTTATTCACATTAAATTTCATTTGCCAAGTGGCGCTCCATGTACTTATTTTGTCCAGGTCATCTTGAAGGGCATGACAATCATCTAAGTTTCTTATCCTTCCTATTATCTTAGCATCATCAGCAAACATGTTCATATAATTATGTATACCAACTGGTAGATCATTTATGTAGACAATAAACATCACTGGTGCAAGAACTGAACCCTGTGGTACTCCACTTGTGACATTTCTCCAGTCCGATACATTGTCTCTGATTACTGCCCTCATTTTTCTATCAGTCAGAAAATTTTTCATCCATGTTAGAAGCTTACCTGTCACCCCTTCAATATTTTCCAGTTTCCAGAACAACCTCTTATGTGGAACTCTGTCAAAAGCCTTTTTAAGGTCCAGATAGATGCAGTCAACCCAACCATCTCTTTCCTGTAATATCTCTGTTGCTCGATCATAGAAACTGAGTAAATTCGATGCACAGGATCTTCCAGATCGAAAACCATACTGTCTGTCTCATATCATTTCTCTCCAGGTGTTCTACCCATTTAGTTTTAATTATTTAGTTTTAATAATAGTGTGTGTGTGTGTGTGTGTGTGTGTGTGTGTGTGTGTGTGTGTGTGTGTGTGTGTGTGTGTGTGTGTGCCGTAGAGTGCCACAGGTGTTGACGTGTGGTGTACTCCCCAGCTGGACATCGAGAACACAGAGTGGAGCGTCCTGCCCTACATGATGGAGCGAGGCCTGCTGGCGGGGGTGAGGCAGCTGGCTGTGGAGGTCCACACCATGGACATTATCACCGCTCCTCCACACCAGGTGGGTCCCTGTCTCTCTCACCCCTACACCACCAGGTGGGTCCCTGCCTCTCTCACCACCAGGTGGGTCCCTGCCTCTCTCACCACCAGGTGGGTCCCTGCCTCTCTCACCACCAGGTGGGTCCCTGCCTCTCATGTAACGTATAAGATTAACGAATAGAAAAAATTAATTCTGAGATAAAGTGTGAGGGTTTGGGGTGAGGGAGGTAGAGAGGTGGGAGGGAGGAGTAAGGAGTCTGGGAGTAGCCGGGAGTGGTCAGGTGAAAGGAAAGTTTGACAAGAAGCGGAGGGAGAGATTGAGAACACGGAGGGGAGTAGAAAGTAGTAAAAAGTAGAAAAGTAGAAGAGTAGAAAGGGCTGCCACCATCCTTTCTAAAACTCAGTACATACAAGATACGGAATGGAACTTGTCTGTATCACAAAATTACTGAGTCATTTAAATTACTGAATTACTGGGGAGTCAAAAATGACTCCCCCCCCCTCTCGTCCGGCCGACAGCCTGGTCTCGGCTGTTGTTCAATCATCCAGCCTCTCTATCTGCTCTGTTCTCTGCTGATCCCATGCTCTCGAGTGTACAGTTCCCTGGGTATTTATGGAGGGACCCTTGGAGCTAGCTCTGCCTACTAAGTAGATAGCCTCAGGCCATCTACCTACTACCCCTTAAACGGCGGCATGTTTGAAATACACACCTGGCTACCTTGTCTGCAATTACCGGCACAGCAGAAGCAAGGACAATTCACACGACCTGACCCCTGGTCAACCTGTAGTCAATAACACTCTAGAGATGTGAGTTATTAATTGTTAAGGTCAGACAATCCAGCGCCTCAAATATCATGTATGACTGACTGTTCTATGTGAAATATTAACTAAACACCTATATGGTGTTTAGTTAATATTTCCTACACCCACCTGACCCCTACACCCACCACCTACACCGACTTGACCCCTACAGCCACCACCTACACCGACTTGACCCCTACACCGACTTGATCCCTACACCCACCACCTACACCCACTTGACCCCTACACCCACCACCTACACCCACTTGACCCCTACACCCACCACCTACACCCACTTGACCCCTACACCCACCACCTACACCCACTTGACCCCTACACCCACCACCTACACCCACTTGACCCCTACTGTGCCCCCCTAACACAGTTACCGTTGCAGGTGGTGAAGCTCCTACAGAGGTACTGGGAGGTGATGCAGGCACTGAGCCAGCAAGGGTTCCTGAGGGCCAGCTACCGGCCCACCGTGGTCCTGGAGTCCCTCTACCATGTACCCGGCCACAACAGGACCATCCCCACCTGCTTCGAGGTCCTCTTCCTTCGTCGGGGCGTTGTTGCTGCTCCCGTGTCTTGACCTGCCCTTGTACACTAGGGTGTCGTCGTGTCCTGGAGTGTCCTGGGGTGTCGTCGTGTCCTGGGGTGTCGTCGTGTCCTGGGGTGTCCTGGAGTGTCGTCGTGTCCTGGGGTGTCCTGGATTGTCGTCGTGTCCTGGGGTGTTGTCGTGTCCTGGAGTGTCGTCGTGTCCTGGAGTGTCGTCGTGTCATAGGGTGTCGTGTTCTGGAGTGTCGTTGTGTCCTGGAGTGTCGTTGTGTCCTGGAGTGTCGTTGTGTCCTGGAGTGTCGTCGTGTCCTGGAGTGTCGTCGTGTCCTGGGGTGTCGTCGTGTCCTGGGGTGTCGTCGTGTCCTGGGGTGTCCTGGAGTGTCGTCGTGTCCTGGATTGTCGTCGTGTCCTGGGGTGTTGTCGTGTCCTGGAGTGTCGTCGTGTCCTGGAGTGTCGTCGTGTCATAGGGTGTCGTGTTCTGGAGTGTCGTTGTGTCCTGGAGTGTCGTTGTGTCCTGGAGTGTCGTCGTGTCCTGGAGTGTCGTCGTGTCCTGGAGTGTCGTCGTGTCATAGGGTGTCGTGTTCTGGAGTGTCGTCGTGTCCTGGAGTGTCGTCGTGTCCTGGAGTGTAGTCGTGTCCTGGAGTGTCGTCGTGTCCTGGAGTGTCGTCGTGTCCTGGGGTGTCGTCGTGTCCTGGGGTGTCGTCGTGTCCTGGAGTGTCGTCGTGTCCTGGGGTGTAGTCGTGTCCTGGAGTGTCGTCGTGTCCTGGGGTGTCGTCGTGTCCTGGAGTGTCGTCGTGTCCTGGGGTGTCGTCGTGTTCTGGAGTGTCGTCGTGTCCTGGGGTGTAGTCGTGTTCTGGAGTGTAGTCGTGTCCTGGAGTGTCGTCGTGTCCTGGAGTGTCGTCGTGTCCTGGAGTGTCGTCGTGTCCTGGAGTGTCGTCGTGTTCTGGAGTGTCGTCGTGTCCTGGGGTGTAGTCGTGTTCTGGAGTGTCGTCGTGTCCTGGAGTGTCGTCGTGTCCTGGGGTGTAGTCGTTCTGGAGTATCGTCGTGTCCTGGAGTGTCGTCGTGTCCTGGAGTGTCGTCGTGTCCTGGAGTGTCGTCGTGTCATAGGGTGTCGTCGTGTCGTTGTGTCGTCGTGTCATAGGGTGTCGTCGTGTCCTGGAGTGTCGTTGTGTCCTGGAGTGTCGTCGTGTCCTGGAGTGTCGTCGTGTCCTGGAGTGTCGTCGTGTCATAGGGTGTCGTCGTGTCCTGAAGTGTCGTCGTGTCATAGGGTGTCGTCGTGTCCTGGAGTGTCGTTGTGTCGTCGTGTCATAGGGTGTCGTCGTGTCCTGGAGTGTCGTCGTGTCATAGGGTGTCGTCGTGTCCTGGAGTGTCGCCGTGTCATAGGGTGTCGTCGTGTCCTGGAGTGTCGTCGTGTCATAGGGTGTCGTCGTGTCCTGGGGTGTCGTCGTGTCTTGGAGTGTCGTCGTGTCCTGGGGTGTCGTCGTGTCCTGGGGTGTCGTCGTGTCCTGGAGTGTCGTCGTGTCCTGGGGTGTCGTCGTGTCCTGGGGTGTCGTCGTGTCCTGGAGTGTCGTCGTGTCCTGGGGTGTCTTAGTGTCGTGTGAGGTCTGCCATACATCATGAACTCTCCATACAATGTACAATATAATTACAATTATCGTCCACAGTATTGTTAAACCTCATGATATCCTCAAATTCATGCTCATGATAATTTAGACAAATTGTAAAATAACAATGTTATTAATAATAACAATATTATTATCATATGTTTTTCCTTATCATTGTTCTGGTTAGATTAAGGCTCCACTTAGTGGGTGATTGTGAGGTAGTTAATGTGATCTAGATACAAAATTAGATCAACCCGGAACTATTGAATTCGCCGAGAGGTTCTGGAGGCCCAGAACTGGAGCCCAACCACGGTGTTTACCTTTTAACAACCAGATAACTGTTTACAGCTAAGAACTGAGATATAATTATATAGAATATATGTGTCGTTAACATCGGTGAATTAAAAAAAATATACATTGGCGGGTCGTAACATAATTCTGAATTTATTACAGCTGTATTCTGTCTGTGAGAGTTTATCCTGTTGCCAGTGTGACTGTTTTCTGTCAAAGGCGGAAACGGAGACACCTGAGGACGCTATAGTGGGTGATGTTGACTTTCTGGTGGTTGGCGGGAGACTGACGTCAGACGCTGCCTGTTGGCCCCGCCCCCTTGCTACTTGGCTCCGCCCCACCTTTCCAGCTGGCCCCGCCCCGTCCCGCCAGCTAGATCTTCCCTACGCCACCAACTAGCCCCGCCCCGCCAGGTAGAGCCTCCCTACGTCACCAACTAGCCCCGCCCCGCCAGGTAGAGCCTCCCTACGTCACCAACTAGCCCCGCCCCGCCAGGTAGAGCCTCCCTACGTCACCAACTAGCCCCGCCCCGCCAGGTAGAGCCTCCCTACGTCACCAACTAGCCCCGCCCCGCCAGGTAGAGCCTCCCTACGTCACCAACTAGCCCCGCCCCGCCAGGTAGAGCCTCCCTACGTCACCAACTAGCCCCGCCCCGCCAGGTAGAGCCTCCCTACGTCACCAACTAGCCCCGCCCCGCCAGGTAGAGCCTCCCTACGTCACCAACTAGCCCCGCCCCGCCAGGTAGCTCCGCCCTGCCAGGTAGAGCCTCCCTACGTTACCAACTAGCCCCGCCCCGCCAGGTAGAGCGTCCCTACGTCACCAACTAGCCCCGCCCCGCCAGGTAGAGCCTCCCTACGTCACCAACTAGCCCCGCCCTGCCAGGTAGAGCCTCCCTACGTCACCAACTAGCCCCGCCCCGCCAGGTAGAGCGTCCCTACGCCACCAACTAGCCCCGCCCCGCCAGGTAGAGCCTCCCTACGTCACCAACTAGCCCCGCCCCGCCAGGTAGAGCCTCCCTACGTCACCAACTAGCCCCGCCCCGCCAGGTAGAGCCTCCCTACGTCACCAACTAGCCCCGCCCCGCCAGGTAGAGCCTCCCTACGTCACCAACTAGCCCCGCCCCGCCCCGCCAGGTAGAGCCTCCCTACGTCACCAACTAGCCCCGCCCCGCCAGGTAGAGCCTCCCTACGTCACCAACTAGCCCCGCCCCGCCAGGTAGAGCCTCCCTACGTCACCAACTAGCCCCGCCCCGCCAGGTAGAGCGTCCCTACGTCACCAACTAGCCCCGCCCCGCCAGGTAGAGCCTCCCTACGTCACCAACTAGCCCCGCCCTGCCAGGTAGAGCCTCCCTACGTCACCAACTAGCCCCGCCCCGCCAGGTAGAGCCTCCCTACGTCACCAACTAGCCCCGCCCTGCCAGGTAGAGCCTCCCTACGTCACCAACTAGCCCCGCCCCGCCAGGTAGAGCCTCCCTACGTCACCAACTAGCCCCGCCCTGCCAGGTAGAGCGTCCCTACGTCACCAACTAGCCCCGCCCCGCCAGGTAGAGCCTCCCTACGTCACCAACTAGCCCCGCCCCGCCAGGTAGAGCGTCCCTACGTCACCAACTAGCCCCGCCCCGCCAGGTAGAGCCTCCCTACGTCACCAACTAGCCCCGCCCCGCCAGGTAGAGCGTCCCTACGTCACCAACTAGCCCCGCCCCGCCAGGTAGAGCGTCCCTACGTCACCAACTAGCCCCGCCCCGCCAGGTAGAGCGTCCCTACGTCACCAACTAGCCCCGCCCCGCCAGGTAGAGCCTCCCTACGTCACCAACTAGCCCCGCCCCGCCAGGTAGAGCGTCCCTACGTCACCAACTAGCCCCGCCCCGCCAGGTAGAGCGTCCCTACGTCACCAACTAGCCCCGCCCTGCCAGGTAGCTCCGCTCTGCCAGGTAGAGCCTCCCTACGTCACCAACTAGCCCCGCCCCGCCAGCTAGCCCCGCCCCGCCAGCTAGCTCCGCCCCTGAGTGTGGGGAGCGAGGCCAAGCGTCGTCAGTGTACCCAGGGACGTCCTCCCCAGCAGCAGTGCTCACATGGTGTTAATTGTAGCAGGCGGGTGATAACTAGTCCTCTACCACCAGGATACACACTAGTACAGTGCCTGTATAGTGCCGGTGTGTGTGTATGGTGCCAGTGTAGTGTGTATAGTGCCAGTGAGTGTGGCACTGGCCTGGGGTGTGACCTCAATGCCCAGGGAACCAGAGCAGGGAGGCTGCCTCAGACACACAAGGTGAGTCGCAGGTCTCTCTCACGTATTGTTCTCCTCCCCCGTGGGCGGCAAGGGCGGCTCCTTGTTCAACCAAGCTGTTGGGGGTTGTGAACGGTTGTTCATCATGACGGCTCCTTATTTAACCCGGCTCTTAGGGTTGTGAACGGTTGGTCATCACGGCGGCTCCTTCTTCAACCCTTCTCTCGATCTGACTGTAAAAAATTGTCAAACAACCAAGTACCCATTTTACTGTTGGGTAAACAGAGGCTACAGTTTAGGATTGGCGCCCAGTCAATCCTCCCCGGCCAGGATACGAACCCTGTCCACATCACTGGAGAAGCGCAGGGCGGGTATCTTACCCTACGCTATATCCCTCCTCATAATTAACTGACCTTTAGTCCTGGGTAATGTACAGGACTAAACAAAACTTACTAGTTAGTCACCAGGACCGATGGGTCTTAATCCCAACACCAAAAATCCTCCCAGAGTGGTCAACAGTACAGGTTGAGGGCCCCGGGGCTACACTACACTACAAACCAGACATGACAAGGCTCATCTCATCGAAATTTTTAAAATACTGAACAATTTAGAGGATGTTGTTAATATCCTCCTGTTTATATAACCTATCCTCCTGTTATATGGTGTATATAGTACCTATATGGACCACCGTCCACATATATTGACGTATTGGCCAATTAGAAAGATGAATTTGGTACTATTGAACTTGGACAAACTGGAAAAGGTTTTGTATTTATGTTGGTAATAAACCCTAACCTAACCACCCTCCGCTTAATACACGCTATCTGAGGCTTAATATAGTACACATATGTACTATACTAGGCCTAGGAATATTTAGGACCTGTACTGGAGTATATCAGACTCCAGACTTAAGTATATCAAACCAGTCCAAAGACACACGAAAAGACTGGCACAGAAGGCTAAAGAAAAGGAGCAGAGGAGACATGATTCCGACGTAGATGATACTAACAAGAACAGGGAAAGTAGACTGTAACAAATTATTCCAAATAAACTGAAATAGAACTTAAAAGTGTAACTTTGACTATGAGATAAGATGTATAGATGTGAGAATACACTCAGATCTCTTGAAGAGTTTTCTTCAAATTCAAATTGAATTTGAATCTAATCTTGTTTTGACAATCCAGAAACGTCGTAACCCAAACAACCCACCTAACCTATTGAGGCAGAGAAAGCGTCAATATTACAATGTTTTAATTTTTGCTAATAGGTCACATTTTTTACGGATTGGTCGATTGCGTGAACAATATATTCGGGAGAGGAACTGATGAGCTGTTATATGGAGTGACCATTAACCTGAGAGGTGGTAGTTAAGGAGGTAGTTGTTGCGACGGGCATCAGAGGCGGGGCCCAAGAACACCACCCTCCACACACTCTACTCTTGGGGACGATTATTTCATAATAACGTCAGCACGCACGCAGCCTTGGGGGAGGTAGGGTTCTGGAAGTGAAAGTGACTGGTGGTGTGGTGGTGTTGTTGTGTGGGGGTGTTGTGTGGTGGTGTGGTGGTGTTGTTGTGTGGTGGTGTGGGGGTGTGGGTGGCCAACTTCCCACCAGACGGCAGGGTGATGACCCTGACATATCACATATACTCCGTCGGAGTTTCGGTGGGGTATTATTGCGGGGGCTCTGTAAAGTTCATTGGTGGTGGTTGTGGTGGGGAGGGGTTGTGGTGGGGTGGTGTTGTGGTTGTGGTGGGGTGGTGTTGTGGTGGTTGTGGTGGTGAGGGGTTATGGTGGTTGTGGTGGGGTGGTGTTTTGGTGGTTGTGGTGGTGAGGGGTTGTGGTGGTGGTGGTGGGGTGGTGTTGTGGTGGTTGTGGTGGTGAGGGGTTGTGGTGGTGGTGGTGGCAGCAGTCACACTGATGGTCGTGCTGACAATATACATGACTTAACACAGTTATCTCTTGACTAAAATAAATTCCCAGCAACTACAGATGTTGGCCTTCGTCAGCAGGTAACCT